GAACTCTGGAAGCAGATGTTGGCGGGCTTTATGTCGGTGTGAGCTATGAGCAGCTTGTGGATGTGGGCGACCGCCTGGAAGATAGGTTTCGAAGTACCCCCCCCTCTGGCCCGTGGTATTTGCGTACCAGAAGGAGAACACGAAAACAAAGATTAAACCATCCCCCACGCGCGGACACACACACACACACGGGGAAAAAGACACCCCTCAATCTGGTTCACGAGGGCACAACGAACAGGCAAGCAACTCCACACCACACCCGAGACATTCCGTGGGCACATAGACTGACATCGACCCTTATGGCCAAAAAAAGAGCTCAATCTATCGCATCGATACCTACCGGATTCCCCTAGACCTCTGCCGATAGGGGGTCCATGGCCCTGCGGGGCAAGCAGGTGGAGGTAGGGGGTCGACGCCTTCACTGATACGGAAAAAGACGGCTACCTGTCACACTCTTAGTCCGGCCTCCACGAGCTGCCCGAAAGCTTTCTCCAGGCGTTGCCAGCACAGATGGCCTTGGCTGGAAGCTGTCTCAAAGGACTCTCCAAGCCTCTCCATACAGAATCCAGCGATGGCCCCCCGCTCGGACACTAGGCAGATCGCTTCGACGATGTGCGGGTGGGCGACCCGCTGGAGCATGCTGGCTTCCTCTCGCAACGCCTTGCGGTCCTGGTCGGGGTCCGCCAGTAAGCCTGGCTGGGGCCGATAGACCTTCACGGCGGCCTCCTTGCCACCGAAGTGGCCTGCATAGACCGTGCCAAGGCCTCCACTCCCGAGCTTCTCCGCGAGGCCCAGCTTCGTTATCTCGATCATGCGAAGCTTGGGCGCCTTCTTCTTCGGCCGGCCAAAGGTGTAGGCCAACACCCGAGGCCGCCCCAACGCTGAGGGGCTGTAAGTCGCCGGACCTGGCGACGGTGCCTTCTGGCCAGCAAAGCGGGGTGCCTTTGAGAATGCCATTGCTCGTCCAAACGCGATGACCGCTGATGCAACTTACAGCATTGGCGAAGCCACCTAGAAAAATCCTAGCGATTTCCTTTAATGAAAGCCCAGTGAGCTAAAGAAATCCATTGCTGATAATCCAGCGAGCTGCAGATCTCTTTTCCTGAAAGTCCAGTTGGGAGTCTTGTTTATAACCAGTATCTTTTTTGAAAGGGCCTGCAGGCTTTCCCGAAAGCTGGGAAAAGTTTAGCGTTCTTCAGCTTTCCGTTAGCTGCTTGCTTTAATTGTTTTTTTTGTGGAATCCCTCTTCCCTGGCCCAGCCGAAAACTGTGAACACTTAGCTTCTTAGCTTTTGTAGCTTTTCTTAGGTTTCTTTAGTTTTGTTCTAGCTTTCTTTAGTTGCTTTTAGCTTTTTGTTGGATTTCCTTAGCTTTTCATGGGATTTCCTTGGCTTTTTTGTTTGCTTTTGGCGGAGTCTACGATTCTGCAAGGGAAATCCAGAAAACTCCTTGAGGAATCCTGAACAAATCCTGCGATGACGGGCCAAGCGGGGAAATGGGAGGGTGGGCCTTGCCTGCGACACTGCCATCACGCAAGATCTCACGTGCTTCCAGGTGCTGGTGGGTGCAGCCAAGACCTTTGCCAAGGATCAACGACTGACAAAGAGCCGCTTGACCGCTTGACTTCTGCTTGCGAGGGAAACCCACCGGTGTCGCACGACTTCAAGATTTGCGTGTCCCGGCCGACTCTACTAAGTACTGTCGTGCTTTGCTTGGGACCGAAAGCAGCCCCACCCCATTCGGCGCAGCAAAAACCAAAAAACCACAGCCAGAAAGCCCTGTCCGAATCCTCTTGGCTCTGGCGACACAGCTCAGACCAGCTCATATCTGCGCAGGAGCTTCCCCGAAAAGGCTTGGCATCTTTACACTGTAGCCAAGGCTCTGCTCTGAGAACCTTGAAGAGAGTTGGCATGAAGGCCTCTTCGAGAGCCTCCTGGGCTCAGATAGTTTGTCACGAGGGCCACGTGGGGGAGCAAAACAAGGCGGGTCCATGCCGTGATATGCCGTGAGAACGTGGCTGGTGCAACAGACAAGTGTTGGGCGACAAGGTGGATGAGGGAAAGAATCGAATTCACAAGCAGAGACACCTTTTCGGCACATTGCTGGGCCATCCGGTCGAGATTTTCTTCACCGATACCCACGAGATCGTCGTCCAGGTCATCTTCGTCTTCCTGGCTCGGGCCCAAGAACGCAATGAGAGGATGCATGCTGCCTGCTACAGCGTTTAAGGTTCAGGGTTTAGGATTTGGGGGTTCAGGATTTAGGGGTTTAGGTAAAGTTTCTGAACTTCTGGGCACTTTCGTCTGCAGGTTTGCGCTGATTTTCCGTGCGGCAGCAAAGAAGATTCCGGCCAGTCCTTGTCCGCACTCGAAGTCCAGGTGTCCACATTCTCCTCAACCTCTAACATCCATTCCAGGTTGAGCAAAATCAGTTGCTCCAGAAATGGCTGGCCCTGACACATACAGCAATTCATCAAATTCATCACAGCTCAATTCTGGGAGAAGTTCTTCAAGAGACCTCAGCTTTGCAGAAGTCCGCGCAAAGACCCTCAAAGAAGGACATCGCCGCTTCCATGGCACCTTGTCAGCCGTCAGCAAATCAGAGTGCACGGGTGAACAGACAAACTCCACGCCGGCTTTTTGGTAGCTCCGCTTGCGGGCACGCTCACTTCAGACTTCGAAAGCCCTTCAATGTCAACCGAAAACGGCTTGAAAACAGACTGAGTGATGCCGTCTTGCCACTATGTCGGACTTGTGCATCGCCCCAGTGGTTAGCTCTGCCTCAGTGCAATGAAGTAACCTGCCTTCCCCTGCTGAAACCTATGCCTCTCCTCGGCTAGATGGAAATTCTTCAAACAAGTCAGGGAACACATCTCCAGCAGCAGTGGCCAGACTTGCTGCAGGCCGTTCTCCTTGAAGAACTCTGGCTCCTGCATGCGCTTGGGGCATGGAAAGCAGCTCTGTCTTCGCCATCCCACGCCTCATCAGCTGCCGAGATCAAGGACTCCAAAGTTTCCTTCAGAATCTCCTGATGGTGATCTCTCATGCTGCGGAAACAGCTCGCCACAGCTGGCTTCCGGGCCGAGCTTCTTCATGCTCCGATGCCACGGCGAAGCTCTTCATGACTGTAAAGACGGTGGGCATTAATGCGCCTAAGCCGACTGCAGTTGGGGGGTTTTGTTGGCTGCGATCTGATGAGCTAGCAGCCTATAGGGCCCGTCACGTCCTTTTCCAAGTCTTCGACCTGACGAGCCAGTGGCAGTGGCCATGTCGATCCGAAAAGTTGCGGCGGCCGCCGAGACACCATCTGCAAAGCTAATCGGGCAGCCGCTCCTTGGACCTGCAGAGGTGCCCATGGCAGAGCAAATGCCACGGCTGCATATCAAATACGGCTCTGCTCAAGAGGCACGCAAGCCTCTGCGGATGGAGCGCCCAGACAGGTCTGCAGCATAGTTACCTGTGGCCACCATGCGTGCGAACCGATATCACGATGGCAACGAGATGCACCAAGCATACTGCGGCGAAGTTACTGCTTGCGGTCCCTGCTTCAGAAGCTCTGCGCCTACAAGCTCCACAATGTCTTGCAGCACCTGCGCCAGCTTGCTTTCAACACGACATGAGCGCCTGTTGCCATGCTTCGAGCTCAAGAGCAATGAGATGCGATGTTGAGAACATCTTCAACAGCATCCCCGGAGACCATTCGCCCTGAAGTACGGTGCTTGTGCAGGAACAGTTCCATTAAACCATGGAGTTTGCGCACTCGTCGTTCTGAAACTTCTTATGCACATGTCGCTGGGTGAAGATCCTGCAGCAGTTGTTTGAGGATGGGGGCCGATGCTCGCCGTCTTCACGCCCAGTCTTGGACCGAATACATCCGGATACCATCGAAACGCACCATCAAGGAGGCCTAGCACATGCACTGGGCGTGGGTAAGCACTCACCCTAGTTGAGACTCACCCAAAAATCGAGCATCCAACAACCAGCTACAAAAAAAAACAACAAATCAATAAGAAAACAATCAAACCCAATAACAACGAACAAACAACCATGAAGAACCGAAAGCCACGAAAGAAGAAGAAGACCTAGAAGGACAGCTACGACATTTACAACTGTAAGTACGGGCAAACGCAGCAGCAAGAACAACAACAACAATCCCCAACGAAACGGCCTGTAAGCACGCTGCTACGTGATTGGCATCCGCCCCTGCACCTCGGAGCTTGAGGCAGACTGAAGTCATATCATTACTGGTAACTAACAGTACCAAAAACGTCATGTTCATTAGTGCGGCTGCGGGCAATATGATGTTCAGCATGCGTGCTTCTGACCAAGCTTTCTCCGCTTTTGTGTCGTATGTGCATGAATAAACGCACAAAACAAAGCTCCACGCCAATGGTGGAGGAGAGGAAAGGTAGAAGGCGCGGCCATGCCTCCCCGGTCACAGCGGACTTCTCTATCTCCGTCAATTCAAACAGTTACTAGCCACTTCAATGACCAGTCCTTGAATTGCACATAATCAGCAATGATACTGCTACTTCCGGCTACGACTGCTACTGCTACTGCTTGCTGCTGCCACTACTCCTCCTCCTGCCGCTGCTACTACTACCACCACTGCCACTGCTGCTACTGCTACCACTACGACTACTGCGACTACTACGAC